TTTTTTTTTTGTTTTTTAATCGTAATGCGCTTTTTAAAAAATAGATGATGGAATTTAAATTCGAAATTTTTTTTTTTTTTTTTTTTTGCTCGCCAAAATTTATTTTTTCAAAACAAAATAAAATTATCAAATAGTTATAAAAATAATAAGAATAATCAATACTAATAAATGAAAATAATGTTGTTTTTTAATCATCGATCCGGTATGATTACAAAAATCTTTATCACAGGTACATTGTTCAATACGTGCACCAAAAACATAATCAATACGGCAACTAAAACCACTAGTATAATCATCTTCGGGTGCACATAAACGTTTCCATTTCAATACAATACCGGCCGGATTTGTAACAGCTTTTAGCATACAATTTCTTGGACATTCACGTATCGGTACAAGAACCGATGCAAATTGATTTGCACTACAAACATCATAATTATTATAACAATGTGGTGTTTTACAATAATTTATATTATAATCACAAATATAACATTTTAATGATTGTCCTGTTAAACGAAAAACAATTGAATCAAATCAATATTGAATTCCAAAACGTAAAACTTCAAAATCAACATACCCGGTATGATAAAATCAATCAAGATAATCAAAATTAATCGTTTAATGTGCATGTTGTTTATTCGAAAAATATGTTTTCACGAATGATGACAGATATTCGAATTCGATAACAATTCGAATAATGATGATTTACATTGGTGACACAGATTCATATTGCTTACCGTTACCGTTGGTTGACAATAAATTGTCAACTCATCATTGGATATTTCCGTAAAATGAATTGACAATAATATTACCTATCTAACGGTCGGGTTTTTTGTTGTTGTTGTTGTTGTTGAAAGTATGTATAACAACAATCAATTGTCGTTATTACGTTTGAGCAAAATAATGAATTTTTTTTTTTAATTAAATTTAAAATTAATCATTTTTTTTCATTTTTTCATTTGTATATAAAATATCGATACAGATTTTAAATATTTTCGAATGATTCGAATGAAAAAAAAATGGATTGGATTCCTGATACAACCGAAACCAATTATGATAATAAAAATAGTGAATCGAATACAACTGATGAAGAATCATTAGACTCAAACATATTGATTTTTATTATAATAGTATGTGTAATAATCATAGTTATATTGACAGTATTTATATGGATATTATGTTGTCGATTTTATCGTACAATGACATTGGCCGGTATGCTTGAACAAAGACAAAAAAAGAAAATGGAAAAAATTAAACGTAAATTAGTTAAAGAATTATCAACTAAATTTCGTGATCCAGATCAAAGTAGTAGTAATACAATAACAAGAACAACAATTGGTAGATCACAAAAAGATGAACATGAATTTATGAATCATTTAGATTCAGAAATTTCATTACCATTGTTACAGACACCGACTAATTTACATGATAAAACTAACGAAAATCTTCGAAAACTTAGGACAAAACCAACGGCAAGACTACATTCAAAACATCCATCATTACTATTAACACCATCGAAACGTTTTGAAAGTTTAAAAAGTATAAAAACATGATAAATAAATAAAAAAATTAAGATTTTTTTTTTCCTTAAAATTTCGAAAAAATCTCTTTATTTTTTCGACGACCCTATTGGGTCGAAATAAAAATTTTAATACACACACGCGGAAACGCGTAATAAGAAATGCGCGCGCCATCGAATATTCGATTTGCACGCCACCAATCCAATAAAAAATCAATGTTTGTTTCATCATTCTTGAAAAAAAAACTGTTTTTTTGTTTCTTTGCTTCAAATCAAATCGAAATTATTACAAACAAACAACCAAAAAAAGAAAAAGAAATTATGGGTGATAAAAAAAGAAAATCGACCATAACAAATACTACCGATCCAAAGGCTTTAGTAAAGTTGCCTCAACAACAACAACAACAACAAAAAGGTCCTGTTATAATTAATTATCCAACTTTACAATCAGGATCATCAATTCCTGTTATGCTTATAACAATGAATCCAAGGTATTTTGATTTTATAAAACAAACAAGGATAATATTTTTCTATTATTATTATTTTTTCCCGATAAAAACAGTCAAAATCTATTACAGCAAACAAATACCGTATCAACAGGTGTAAATATGAATCTATTGAAAGAATTGATTAACAAATCATTTGATATGGTCAAACAAAATAATCGATCACGATCATTTAATCGACAAAAATTTGAACAAATTTTAACAAATTTACAGAAAAATTTAGTTCTTCATATCGAAGCTAATCAATCTAAATTGTTGATCAATGAAAATGTTACTACCGCTGCTGCTGCTGCTGCTCATGATAATACGATTATTCAACCATCATCATCAACAGAAAGCAAGGAAATTATTGTCATTGATAGCCCGGAACAAAAATCAACAGTCAAAATGGTATAAAATTTGATTTAAAAAAAAAAAAATTTGAATTTAATGATTGAAATTAATTTTGATTGAATTAAAGGATGGTGATACTAATAATGATGATGTAGTGATGGAAAAATCAGTGTCTAATGTAAAAAATCATCCAACAACAAATTCATTTGAATTTCCTATTTCTATCGAAAAATCGAATACTAAACGAACAAAGAAAAAACAAAAATGCACTCCCAAACGACAGAAACCTGCACCAAAAACAACAACGACTACGACGACGACAACAACAACAACAGCGATTACTGTGAATGAAATATCATCGGGAACATCTAGATTTGCTGATATTGATTCTGATGATGATATTGAAATTATTTCGGAAATTACTCATAATAAACAGGATACTAATCAACCTAAACCACCAAAGATTATTACACATGATCATAATTATGCATATGATGGTCATGATCATTCATCCACAGAAAATGAAAATGAAGATAATGATGAAGAAATGAATAAAGATCATGATCAAAGTACACATATAGATGTTATGCAAAAAATGCTTGAAGAATTAAAACAAGATGATGATGATGAAAAACCAGTTGTGGCTATAACAGATTGTCAGGAAATAAAATCAACGGTAATTATGAACAGTTGTTTGTTAATTACATTTTTATTATTTGATTTCTGTCTTTTTTTCAGCAAAACAATCTACACAAAACTGACATAAATAATAATAATAATGTTGAATCATTCAACAACGATGATGATAACAGTTGTATGTCTAGAAATGTATACACAAGACATTGTATACGTGAAATACGTGGATTCAGTGATCTTAATGTTCGTGCACAACAAGCAATTCGTGATGATATTGAACGTTGTGAACGTTTAAAAGAAAAGAAAAAATTTTTGGAAAAATTTTTATCAAAAATATCCGATAATAATGATCGTCTTATCCTAGATATTGATAATCGTAATGGAAAAATTTTGGTCGAAGTTGATGAAGGTCTTGTTCAAATAATGAAACCACATCAAAAAGATGGTATACAATTTATGTTTGATTGTACAATTGAAAGTGTTGATCGTTTAAAAAATCATTCTCATCAAACTGGTTGTATATTGGCACATTCAATGGGTCTTGGTAAAACATTACAAGCAATTGCATATTTACATACAGTTATGACCAATGAACATTTAGCAAAAATTATACGTAAAGCTTTGATTATTGTACCATATAATGTATATAAAAATTGGCTTGATGAAATACAACAATGGTTTGATGAATGTCGTCGTTATATTGATGTTGCACGATATGAATTATCTCGTTCAAAATCTATTTCAGAACGTTTAGAAACATTAAAAGATTGGCATCGAACTGGTGGTATATTGGTAATGACTATTGGTACATTTACACGTTTAGTATTGGGACGTAGTTTTCATGAAGAAGAATTACCCGATGGTATGACCATTATAAACAATTGTCTTTTAACACCGGATGTATTCATAATGGATGAAGGACATTTGTTAAGAAATTCATCAAGTCAAATAAATCGAGCGGCATCAAAAATTGTTACATTACGACGTATCATATTGACTGGAACACCAATGCAAAATAATTTAGATGAATATTTTGTAATGGTAGATTTTGTTAAACCAAATCTATTAGGTACAATACAAGATTTTCGTAATCGTTTTATAAATCCAATAACAAATGGTCAACATATTGATTCGACTAAATTTGATGTAAATTTTATGAAAAAACGTGTACATGTTCTGCATACAATGCTGCAGCCATCTATTCATCGTTGTGATTATCAAGTATTAGTTCCTTATCTACCACCAAAACAAGAATATATTGTTTATGTTCAATTAACTGAAATACAATCAAAACTTTATCAATATTATTTGGATAATATAACAAAAAAATCACAACAATGTTTATTCAAAGATTTTTGGATATTATTATTATTAAATAATCATCCGGCATTATTGATTGATATGTATGAAAAACAATATAATGTTACAATGGATAATGATTATACTATTGGTAATAATGATGATTATGATGATGATATTTCCAAAACAAATAATATCATTATTAAGGATAATAATCAAAGAAAAATTGCTCAAAACAACAATAACAACAACAACAACAATAAACAATGGTGGACAAATATTATTGATGAAAAAAATGTTCGTTGTATTGAATTGTCAGCAAAATTTATCATTATGTTTGCAATAATCGATGAATGTCAAAAACTAAATGATAAATTGATTATATTTTCACAAAGTCTTATTAATCTGAATATGATTGAATTAATGTTAAGTAAATGTTTAAATGTTGATTGGATACGTAATGTTGATTATTTCCGTATTGATGGTAATGTTACGGTTGAAGCAAGACATCGTATTATACAAACATTTAATGATGAATCAAATAGAAAAGCAAGATTATTGTTATTATCAACACGTTCCGGTGGTATTGGTATTAATCTAGTTGGAGCAAATCGTTGTATAATATTTGATTGTTCATGGAATCCTGCACATGATACACAGGCTATTTTTCGTATATTTCGTTATGGTCAACATAAACCATGTTTTATTTATCGTTTAGCTGGTTATGGTACAATGGAAAATCGTATATATCAACGACAAGTATCCAAATTATCCATATCAAAACGTGTTGTAGACGAAAAACAAATACGTCGTTATTTTACATCAAGACAATTAGAAGAATTATATACATTTATGCGAAGACCAATAACAAGACAAACATTACCAGTACCAAAAGATGATTTACTTGCTAGTTTAGTAAGAAAATATTCACAACATATATTACTTTATTATGAACATGATTCATTATTACAAAATCGACCGGAAGAAGAATTGAGTGAAGCTGAAAAACAACAAGCATGGATTGATTGGGAACAAAATCGTCATGGTAATACAAATGAAATACGATCAACACAACAACAACATGATTACAATGATAATGATGATGATGATGAGGAATTTCAAGATCCAGATGATTATCGTTCATTATTGTATTGATTGATTGTTTTCGTTAATTTTTGGTTTTTTGTTTTTTTTTTGCTTTGATGTAATTATTATTATTTTTTTTTTTTTTTGAAAAATTCAATAAAATTAAAATTCAATAAAAAATTTTTAATTCGAAAGTTTTTTTTTGTAAATAAATAATGAAAAATTTAATGCTAAATAAGGGTTGAATTCGATGAATGAATTTGATTTGATTTGATTTGACAATAACGACGAAGAATGGCAACCGCAACAACAACAACAACAACAAATGATTTTGATGATTTTATTGATTGGACAAAAGGTTTATATAAAAAATGGATGGAAAATTTTGAAAAAGATCCATTTTTAACGATAGGTGNTTTCAAGATCCAGATGATAATCGTTCATTATTGTATTGATTGATTGTTTTCGTTAATTTTTGGTTTTTTTTTTTTTTTTTTGCTTTGATGTAATTATTATTATTTTTTTTTTTTTTGAAAAATTCAATAAAATTAAAATTCAATAAAAAATTCTTAATTCGAAAGTTTTTTTTTGTAAATAAATAATGAAAAATTTAATGCTAAATAAGGGTTGAATTCGATGAATTTGAATTTGATTTGATTTGATTTGACAATAACGAATACGACGACGACGAAGAATGGCAACCGCAACAACAACAACAACAACAACAAATGATTTTGATGATTTTATTGATTGGACAAAAGGTTTATATAAAAAATGGATGGAAAATTTTGAAAAAGATCCATTTTTAACGATAGGTGCAACAGCAACAATATTATTATTGGGAATAATAATATTATTTGCTTGGTTTTATTGTTGTTGGCAATTTTTTCGTTCATGTTTAATACCTGTTGATAATGTTAATATACAACGAGCACCAAAACCAGGTATGAGTGGTGGTGGTGGTAATAAAAATAAAATTATAAATAATAAATATAGTCGTATGGATGATTTAAAAGCTAAACGTATACCAACCAAATTAATGTGGACAATACCACATCAATTAATTGAAACAAGAACAACAACATCGACATCGACATCAACAACAAATAAACCAATGATGATGGAAATTTCTGATTCATTATCATATTTTGATAATGATGATGATGATGATCGAATAAAAAAGAAATTAAAACAAAAAGATTCATTGGATAAAATATTAGAAAGAGCTTGTCAACAACAACAACAACAAACCGAAACAATAACAACCGAACCATTGGAAAAAACATTATCAGATAGTTTAAATAGTGAACAACAACAAGAATATTTTCAACAACAACAACAACAACAACAAAAACGTAAACAATTAAAACAACAACAAAAAGATTATTTAGAACAATTAGAAAAATCACAACAAAAACTAAAACTAAAACAACAACAAAATATTATTATAAGAAAAAAACCACCATCAATATCGAATAAAGTAAAATCAGCAATTATGGATTTTTTCATGTCAACCAAACGTCGTTATTCATTGAAACCTGATAAAAAAATAACAACCAAAATTGAAAGTTTACGATTTCATGAAACGTTTGATAAGAATCATTTTCCACAACCACCACCAGAACAACCAGGACAACCAGAACAACATAAAAGTCTTAATTTGAAAATAATTTATTCACCAAAATCAGCATTAGATCGTGCACCACCGGCAACAATTGATTTATTATCATGTACAAAAGAACAACAATTACCATTTTTAAAATCACCTACAATCGATTCATTAAATGAATTACGTAGTATATTGAAAAAATCAATAAAAAGTCATGGAGAATTGGATTTTTAGAAGAAGAAAACCAACAACAACAAAAAAAACCTTTAAAAACCTTTAAAAAACAAAATCAATCATTGTCAAAAATCAAACCAAAATATACACCTAAATAAATCAATAAAAAATACCGATTGAAATCGATCATTCGATCGATTATCATATTAACCAATCAACAATCGACAATCATTCATTCATTTTTCTACGAAAATTTTTCATTTTGAAAAATGTTTGTTCCACCTTAGATTTTCTTCTTTGTTTTTGCTTTGTTAATTGTCAAAAACCATTATCATCATCATCATCATCGAATCGAATCGATGATCATACCTGATTAATTGTGTAAAAAATCAATCATCATTGATCGATTGAAACTGATGAAAAAAAATGCTGCTGTTGTTTTTCCGCTGAGAAATCAAAAAAAAAATGTTGCCATTTTTCTGATATTCCAGGTGTGTGTAAATGATGCAAAAAAAAATTAATGATAAAATCTACAAATGTTTTTTCTTTGCAAAAAAAAAGAAATCATTATTATAGCCCGAAGAAAATGTGTGTGTGTTTTGCTGTGCACAAGCATCTGCAACGGAAAATATCAGGTGTGTGTGTGGGATACAACTATCTTTTCTCTCTCTCTCTTTCGCTCTCGGTTATCACTAATAGGAAATGACCTTTTGTCACAAACATTTGTCCTTCCTTTTCATCGTTTTCATAAATATCTTTATTGAATCTCGCCACACACACATTACATTTTATGTTACAAACAACAACAACAACAGCAGACATCCGATTCAAATATCCGATCAAAAATCAAAAATGCCCAAAGGGCTATTGATCATGATTTAACCAATTATTAACTATTTCGACTTTGGTTGTTCGTTTTTTTGTTTTGTTTTTTGCAAAAAACAAGATTCTTCAACAACAACAACAGCAAACATCCGGCATATTTTCAATTTTTTTGATCTAATTTACAAGAAAATTTGCATAAACATAATTATAAAATGAAAAAAACAACAAAAATGACAATGTTTGACCTTTGGTCAGATTTGTTTTTCCCCTGGTGGTTTTAAATGAATTTTTCGTAATAAAATCTGATTGGTTTAATTTACATATCCGCTTTTTTTTGGAGAAAAACGAAGAAAAAACGAAATTTCATCACATTTTTTTTTCGTTTCATTTTTGATGATTTATACCCGGAGATCTTATTTAATTTTTTTCGCTGAAAATCTCTTTTTTCCCCCTCCCCCCTTTCCAAAGTTTAGTTTGCTTGTTGTCAATAATATAATTAGATAATGTTTTTGATTACAGATGTTGTTGTGTCGGGTGGCTAGCTAGCTGATAATTATCATTATCAACCACCATACACACACACTTTCTTGTATCAAAGTTGTGTGTAATTTTTTTTCTTTTTTCCACTTTTATTTTCTATTTCGACAGCAACGACGACAGGCGTTTCCTATTTTTTTTTCTTCATTGCCCTCATTTGACCGAATCAATTGATCGGTTATTATATCATTTTGATGATGATGATTATGATGAAATTAATTTTGAAATGAAAAAAAAGTAATAACAAAATTGTAGTAGCTCGGATTGAAAAAGAAAGAAAGAAAAAAAAATTTCATCGCATCCGAATTGATTTAAACTACACAATCCGGACACACACATCATATACAAGTAAAATAAAATGCATGTTGAAATAGCCAATGGCTAATTGTTGCATTTATGCATAACATTTTTTTTCCGTTTTAAATTTCTCCCTCCCTGCTTTCCCCCTCCTTGTTTTCTCCCCTTGCTTAGATGTGTGTTTAACCTATGATAAGGTTGTTATTATTATTATTATTTCCGTTATTGTCCATTTGGTGATTAAAAAATTTTTTTTCACTTGATTCTATGGATTTTCGATGATAAGGATGCTAACGATGATGATAATGGTTATTGTAAAATGTTTTTTTTTGTTTGTTTTGATTTCAATAACAATGAAAACAAAACAAAACGACAACAAACAAACATTTTTTTCCCAGTTGATTAAATCATTTATGCAAATTATATCTACGGATAACTAATCTGTTGATATAGTTATCCATCAGATTGAATTAGGCTGTCAAAAATTGAAAAAATTGAAAAAACCATTTGATCACTGATACTGAATAGCTGCTGGCCAGATAGGTAGATCGATGATGATTAGTTTGATAGCTATTTTTCTGCTCAATCAAATAAGGATGTGATCCAGTTTTTTTCCCTGTTTTTTTTTCAAAAAAAAAACAATACCTGTTGTTGATTTTGTTTTTCTGGATTAATCAATACAATATACATACAAGGTGCAAGTGCAAAAAATTATCCCATTAAATCATGATACAAATGGCCAATTTCATCATCATCAACAACAAAGATTGACCCAGTCATCATTCCCGAATTATTATTATCGAATCGGAAAGAAAAAAACGAATTACATAAACTTGTTGCACACACCATCAACGAAAAAAAAAAAATAGAAAAAAACAGGTATTGATATTTGATAATACAAGTTTGCTGGAAAGAAGAACAGAAAGAAAGTCAGAAAAACACGTGTTTCTACTTTTCCACAACAACATCTTTACCGACGATATGATATATGTTGTCTAATTTCTGTTTCTTCTTTCGTTTCTTTCTTTCTGTAATCATTTAGCATTTTTGCATTTCTCAAATCTTCATTCATAGTTCTCTTTTTTTCAAAAATAATAATTTTTCTGTTTCTTCACCAAAAAGGATAATGTTAACAAAAATATGATAGACACGATATAGTATAAAAATGTGTCCAATAATCAACATTTGAATCACATTCACCAACAATCATCATCTGATCTGATCATTTAGTGTTTTTTCTGTTTCTGTTTTTTGTTTCTGTTTTTGTTCTTGTTCATTTGGAAATTATTATAATAAAAATTCAACCGAAAAACCAAAAATGAAATTCAATACTCAATCAATTTTATTATTTACCTTTTTGGGTTTATTTGTTTCAACATTTTTTATTGAAATGATTGCCGCTAACAAAATGATTGCCGCTATGTTATTGGGTGCTGCATTGGCTAAACGACCAAAAATGTTGCCATTACCACTTCCACTTCCCGTATGTTTTTTTTGTTTGTTTGCTGAAATTTTCATCTTTAATTTCAACCATTTTTTTTCTTTCTCTCTCTCTCTCTCTCTCTCTCT